TTAAAACTAAGAACTGTGATTGATACAGCATACAGATAGGCTTCAGAGGGTTCATGAACTCCTTGAACTGTATACGAGATACTTTTCACACACACACACACACACACACACACACACACACACACAAAAACACACAGAGTGTTTTCTGGGGAGAGGTTACATAGTTTTATCAAGGGAGTCCATGATATAATGTGGGCATATAAGTTTGAGGGGGGACAGTGAAATATATCCTTCAAAGATACAAGTACATTATAGCTGAACTTCTTTGTCACTTCTGGAAACAATTTTTTTAATGTGGAAATGCAGAGGATTTTAATTTAAAAGTGAACCAGAATTAATAGACTAGATCAAACAATGAGATCTAGAGACAATATAAAGAAGCCAAGAAAAAGAAGACTGCCCTTGAGGAAATGTGATGTTAGTAAGATAACAACCCCTTGCTGGAAGAGGAGGAGGATCTTTGCCTTCAGGATGAGTTGAAGAGTAGCCAACTGACCCAGGAATAAAAGAGTTCAGGATATCTGCAGCCGGAACACAGAGTATCAAGCAACCAGTGAGATGGGTCAGAAGACTGTGGATAAGCAGTTGCAGCTGGGTTAAGAGATCATACTTGTACCCCAGCCAGGCTTGGCATTCTCAAGAACCAGGAGAGGAGAATTAACTGGGCAAAGAAGGTGAAGCTGCTTAGAATCAATAATTAGCTATATGTAAATCCAGTTGAACTCGGTCATTAAATAAATAGTCACAGAGAACTGCCTACTCAAATGTAGGCAGTACAGTACAGTGTTTCCTTAAGAGCATGAAATCTATATCTTAATTGTTTGGGTTCAAAACACAGCTATTTCCAAGTGATCATGGTCAATATCAACAGTGATAAGTCAGGTTAATAGTATGTACCTTTGAGACGAAGTGATGAAAATGTCACTTTATGTTTGTGGTATTCCTCCCCAAAACCCATAACCTAGGTCTAATTATGAGAAAAATAACAGACAAATCACAACTGAGTAAGACATTCTGCCTGACCAGTACTCCCAAAACTGCCAAGGTCATCAAAAACAAGGGAAGTCTGAGAAACCTGTCACAACCAAGAGGAGCCTAAGGAGACATGATGACTTAATGTAATGTGGTATCTTGGATAACATCCTGGAACAGAAAAAGGGCATTAGGTAAGAAACTAAGGAAATCTGAATAAAGTATAGGCTTTAATTAACAATAATGTATCAGCATTGGTTCATTAATAGTAATCAATGCACCACATTAATGTAAGATATAAATAATAGGGGAAACTGGCTGTGGCGTATATAATAACTCACTCTACTATCTTTGCAATTTTCCTGTAAATCTAAAACTGTTCTTAAAAAAATTATAGTTTCTCTTTAGAAATGTAGTTATTTTACTTACTAACTTGAGCAAGTTAGTCTTTCTGTACCTCATTTGTCCCATCTGTAAAATTAGAATTAGGTTAGGTTGTAATAGTAGCAACCTAACTCAAAAATCTGTTGTGAAGACTAAATGAATTAATACAGTACAGTGCTTAGAACAGTACCTCACAGTTAGGAAGCACCCAGTGAGTGATAGCTATGATCATTTCTTAATACAGATGCTCCTTGATTTCTGATGGAGTTATATCTGGATAAGCCCGACCTAAGTTGAAAATGCATTTTCAACTTACGATATTTTCAACTCAACAGGGGTTTATCAGGACACAACCCAACTGTAAGTCAAGGAGTACCAAATACACATCACTTTCACATCATTGTAAAGTTGAAATATTGTAAGTGAAACCATCCTAAGTTGGGAATCCTGTATTTGGATTCAGTCTGTATTTGTAAAGTGCAGTAAAATTTTATGGAAAATGACTAAAAAATAGTCCAATGTAGGAAGTATTAAACTCTACCTTTATAAACAAAATTTGAAATAATGGAATTTCCTCATTTAAAAATGTCAAAAATTACATAATTTCAAGGTAGGTAAAAGAAGGGAAGTATAAACTGCATTTATACTATGGTCACAGTGGTGACCACCATATAAACCTTGCTAGCCCTGGTAAGAATTCATCCTGAATTAAGGTCTTAGAAACCTACTGCTCACATAAAAGGTGACAACTCTGTTACTTTAGGTCTAAAATTCCTCATGGTATAAGAAAACAAAGTTTGTATTTTAATACCAAAGTAATGACTTAAATGGCTTTCATGGAGAAAAGGTGGCTAGGCTACAGACCCAAGATCAAAGTTAAAAAGTGGGAAATTCTTAAATCACTAGGTGGGTGGCAGCAGAAATTCCCAGAAGTCTACAGCTCAGGCAGACATCTCTCCATGCTAGAATACAATTGATAAAACACGTTACCAACATATGCTGCATCTTAATTTCTGCTTTAAATTGTCCAGATCCACTGTGGCTGATGTGATTCCGAGTATATAAAACCCTCAGCTGTTTTTTTCTAATAACTCAAATTTTCAGTTTACGTTCTGAGATCTATGTAAATATTATGACTTTCAATAAGAAATTAGTATATCATGTGTATTTTCCCATTATGTCTTTAATATTTTAAAATATCTATAATATGCTCAAAATGTTTACTATATATTTCATTATTTGCAAATGTTACATAAGAACTGTTCCCAAGTTATTATATACAAAATTTTGATGAATGTCAGTGTAACTTCTCTTGACATTAATGGTGATAGGCTCTGATTTGTTTACAGTAGAAGGGCAACCACTTAGAGAAGTCTGACTGCTCACTTAATCAAAAAGCTGAGCGCAAATAAATGTATCCTTATGATAAAGGTCAAAGACTCAGCCAGAGGACTGAAGAAGATGTAAGAATTAGATATATTTAATCTAGAAAAAAATGGAGAAGTAAACATATACACACAAAGGACATTTCTAAAATCTATAATGTTTGTTTCTTTCCTTTTTTGCAATCAGATGTTAAAATTAAAATTTCAAGCCACAAGGAATATTAATGGCTTTGATATATTTCCCCTCATATCTAAAAATCAGATATTTTCTTACAGTGCATTTTATTTTTGAAATAATATTTTAGGAATAGTTTGGTTACTGAAGATGTAAACTGTCAACTCCCATCTTACTTTGATGAGTCTTCTTCATTAGCATTTTTAAAACCATATTTATTTTAGATTTTTAAAAATATTTTATTTTCTATCTCCTATAAACAAAAAATCTCAATTTTATATTCTTTAAGAATGCGTATAGCAATGTCTCAGTCAAAAAAAAAGATATCTTTTTCTTTTATAATGAATATCCCACCAAGATATTTCAGTATGCATATTAAAGAATGGATTAATTTTATTTCAGTAGTGATTATTTACACAAACTACCTTTGTTGTAAGGAGGTAAATTATAGTGACCAATGTGTATATGATCTTTCCAAGATTATACCTGTATCAAAATTTTATGCTCACATTATAATCTCTCCACATAGTAGATATAAGTTAAGAGTTTTGTATGTTAGTTTACTTATGTTGATAAATAAATATTTTATTTGTTCTAATTTTGTTAAAATATTCTTGATATATTGTATTGACTTTCAAATGGAATGATGTTTACTTTTTGTTAAAAAAGTAATGTTAAACCACAAACCTTTTACTATATAAATTATTCTCTTTATGGTAACATGTCTCCAAAGAAAATACAAAACAATGAAACCACATTAGCTCAATTGTTCTCCATATTAAAATTACTAGTAGCTCCTATTCCCTTAAGATAGTGCCAAGTCATGAACTAATGTAAAAATTTTTAAATTAAATACACTATTTACCTATATAAAGATATTCCCCTCTGTCCATTACACAAATGATTACAGATGACTGGTCTGTATTTTTTTTATCATTTCAATACCACAGTTCAGAATTCCATGTTCTGAAGGTTAGAAGAGAAGGTGGTAAATGTCCTCCAGTAAGAGACATTTGAATAAACGAATTCATTTTGTCTCAATCCATATGATGCCTACATCATTAATAACCAACTTACAAGTGTGAAACCTGCACCGAAATTTTAAAAGAAAAAGAATACAGTACTCAAACTAGACAAATGATAAGCTATTTGTGCCTCTAAATATTTAGAAATATTTGCAAGTGAAGATGAATCAGAAAGATGACTTTCATGTTCTAACTTGTTACATAATATGTTATTGTAGTTTAAGCTGATTAATAAAAAAATCCATTTCAAAGACCAAGCCAGGTTCCAAGGATAAAGATTGATAAAGTCATTATGAAATTACCATTTTTAAAATTTTCCTTCTTCTATCTCATTTCCCCTTCTTCTTGCCCCCTCTTTTCACCAGCTGACCACATCTAGCCCCTCTACATTCCCTTAAACTCTCTTGAAACAATGTCTTTCATTTCCCTAAATAGCACAAATTTCAGTGAAAGTGAAGGTAACAGGAATTAGCAGCTGTCATCTTAAAAAGAGACATGTTACTTAGTATTCTCTGTATTAGTCTGGAGAGCTGCAACATAGATAACACAAAGAGAAATAACCACAAGAAAAATATTATTGACAACTAAAATGGTGTCAAAAAATTGGCAACTACAATGTGAATCTCTTTGTAAAATCTTTCATTTTCGTAAAATCAAAAAAATGACTCTATCTGTTATAAACTAAAATGTCACATAAAATTTTATACTATAGAAACGCCTCCCATAGTTTTGCTACGAATACAGAAGGTAAATGAATGAAGGAAACTGCAAGGCAATGATGCGTAAAATTGCCACTATATATTATTTTCGAAGCAGAGTCAGAACTATATATGGAACACAAGGTATTTCAAAATGAATGCTATTGTCCTTGTAATTTTATAGAATATCAGAACATTTTTTAAAATCCTAGCAAAAGTATCACATGTTCATACCAAGATATTACATAGCTGTATATAGGTTGATATACATATATAATCATAGATTTTAAATAATACTAAATTATAACATTATAGAGACTATACCCCACACCCCTTTTCTAACAGTAAGAAAATAATCCACCTGCATGAACTGGAATCAGATTCATTTTCTTCTTCACTAGTGCCATCGTCCACTTCTGGTCTATCCAGCCAATGTGCACCGCCACAGTCTTCTGCTGTAAACTCAAATGCAGGGACTTCAGAGGTGGATGCCATTGGCCAAGAAGGTGAACTCTGAAAATCCAGTTGGCTGGACCTTCGGTAACCAATTGAAGCCAAAGGCAATTGTAGGCTACATGGATCTAAAAACTTTCTCCCACCGTTTGCTCCAGTCTGTCCTCGATTCCAAAATTCTCCCTGCTGGCTGTCAGCTGTAGAATTAGGAGATGATGCTTGATGGCCAAACCACCTCCATCTGATTTTCAAAATCTGTTTCACATCAAACTCTTTACGAGAACCAGACATCCTCAGAGAAACCAAGTGATCGTCTAGGCAACGGGCAAAAAGCACTGCACACAGATTTGTGCATCCAACCAAGACAAGAGAGGTATATGCCCTGCTGTACACAACAAAAAGATTTAAAGGAAAATAAATCACATTCATATATATCTCTACATTTACTTTTATGCCAATATATCAGATTTTAAAGAACAAAGGATAATGAATAAAGATGAAAGAAACACAGTGGAACATTCCGTTCAATCAGAGAAAACTCTCCTCCACCTATCCTGAAGCAGCTAGACCACTTTCCCGGCTTTCCTTTCCCACACTGACCATTAGGTCTCACAAACACTGACAGCATTCATTAAAGTCCTTTCAAATGCAGAACACCACCCCCTTTTCTTAAACCGCAAATGACAGAGACAGAAAGCACTATCCCATAGTGGTATCTCAGTCTCTCCGGCTCAGTACAATTAACTCTTTTATTGCTGAAACAAGAAACGTATGCCAGAGCATTTTCCTTTGTACTTAAAATCCACTTTAAAACTAAAATGTTTCTATTTTTAGACTAAGTTCCTAAATGAGGTTTCACAAAATAAGTTTTTTAAAAAGCATTTTTTAATTAGATGAGTTACAGTGATATTCAGGCTGTGCTGCTTGGATAGGGACTGAGGAGGAAGGAGGGGTGCAAAGGTGGGGCTCCAGATTGTCGCCTTTTACCTCCACCTTCTCCCTTCAGGAAAGGAATGTATCTAAGTAATATAGTAAGCTCCCAGGTAAGAATTCATCTGAAGAAAGGATAATGAGAAGAATAAAAAGTTTGAAACTACAAAGGATCAAAATATGACAGTGCTTACTCCTTTTCAAATAACCCGAAGCCAATATTGCTCTATAAATAGAACTGGGCTGCTTCCACTTAGATATCCAAATTTCCATGACACTACTTAGGAAAAGGAAAGTGTGGCTCAAGGAAGCTATCAAGGAATGGGATTGGACTATTGGGTGTACGAGTGCCCTAACTGTACTCTCTGTTGTTAGCAAAATGAAACAATGGTCTGAACATGGTTACAGTAAGGCAAACTGATAAAGCAATTAAAAATCAATCAAATTTTAAAATACTTAGTAGTTACTGTAAGCAATGCACTCTACTAGGCATTGTGGGGGACACAGGAATATATGTACCTTGGTTCCTAATCCCCAAAATAATTAAATCTAGTTATTGAAAAAAAGAAAAAAATATTTAATAAATTAAGAAACATTATAATACTGTACTATTAAAATTTTGTGACTTACAAATGCAGAATTTGAGTTTTCAGGATGCTCAATATCTGCTGATCAAATAATTTCACACAAAAGGCAATGCCTATATTGACTGACCAAAAAAACAATGCAAACAACAAAAAGAGCTGCTTTGTTCGCTTACAAAAATATTATGAGGCATACATCTTAAGTTCACACACCTCTTTAGGAGAATAAAAATTATTCAGAGAAGAATGAGAAACACAAAAAGCTACATACACTTTTATGCCAAATTATATGGGAAAAACCATAAAAACTATAAGAAAGAGAAAAGATATCAGGATGGGGTGGAGTGGTATGGGCCAGTTTCATTAGGGAGAAGGCTTCTAAGAATAGTAGAAGTAGTTATTTAGGCAGGATGATGATAGATTTATATAAAGTAAGAAAGATATTAATAAAAGCATGTAGTGAGCATATTGACAAGGAAGGAGGGGGAAATATCAGTTTGATCAGCCAGCAGGCCTTACCTAATTAATTTTAAGCAGTAGTTAGAGATAAAGTTAGATGAATATGATGAGATAAAATGCCTTGAGCACACAGCAATGGCATTATTGAGTGGACTGTTGAACAGGACAATGTTTTAGATAATTAATTTGGCAGTAGTATGCAGGATGCATTAGAGAGTGAAATGACACTTCTCCCTCTCTTCTCACCTCCTCCCGATGAACACCCTTCACTCTACCTATTCAACTTTATTTCCAACATTAGACACACCACTTAATCAGTGAAGATGGTCTACATTACATTGCTCCCTCTTTCAGAACACTGTTTGCGCCCAATTTCTCTGGTTTTAAAATCCTCCTCATCCTTCAAGGTTTAGCTTAGGCACTACCATCCTTACAAATACTTCTTTAATTACTCTAGTCCTGTGGTTCTCGCACCAACCCCACTGGGCTTCTGGAAGGCTTCTGGAATTTTGGAGGGGGGGAGGTGTAGATTTTAGCTGTCAGAATGACCAGAGAGCAGGAGAGGCATTGAGTGGGCAGGGGCCACAGACAGCAAATGTCTTGCAATGCACAGTACAGACACAAAACGGAAAACCGTCACTGCAGTAGCTCGTGAGGATATTGCCATTGCTGTTTTTATTCACATAAGTATTTACCAAATATTTATATGTACCACAGAGATAGATGAGTCACAAACAGATCTTGCTTTTATTAATAAAAGTTTTAAACTTATACTCTGACAGACGAAAAAGTAACTATTACAAAAGAATAAATTTTAATAAATATTTTATATAAATAAAATTTTAAGTTGGATTCAATCGATCAATGTTAGAACACTTACCAGGGATTCTACACACAATATGTGCTAGTTCCAATAGTTAGAAGTGATTTTAATTGCTTTGTTATTTGGCTGACTGAAGCCTGAACTCAACTCAACTCAGGGGCCTTCATTAAAGCCCCCTGAGATGTCAGACATTTCTCGACATAATTCTCTATAAGAAGAAATCTAAAGACTAAAGGAGATGTGAATGTTGAAGTGTTAAACCATGCCTCCACTCCCAAGGGGCCCAAAGACCCTGTCTGCTGAGATATTGAGACATTTATTGAACATATACCTCTTTAATGTAGTAGCTGTTCTGAGTAGGCTAGAGATGCAGGTGGGAGATGAGCTATTGAAACAGGCTCCCTGATTTTAAAGGAATACTAGGATTCAGAGGTTGGCAAAGGCCAAGTAGCAGCATTTAACCACCACTGTCGCAATCACAGGCTTAGTTACATGCATACATACATATGCATATATATACAAAAACAAAACAAAACACCCTTTATATATCAGTGGACTCATATCCTATGCTTTTTCACTGATACCTTTATTTTTTCAATCCTCTTCCCCTCATTCCCCCCGGGTTTTCAATGTTGACAGCAGCCTGTCATACCTCTCTCCATGTTTATAAAATCATACACAAACATATATACACATATACGAGAGTTTTTGTTAGTGTTCTAAGAGAGATCATATTGTATTCATTGTTTTGGCATTTTGCTTCTCTCGTCTAATTTCATATATACATGGAAATATAAACCAATAATTATTTTAACAGTTACATGATATTTCAATATTGTAAAACAATTTATTAAACTGTCTCCTTGGGCATTTGGGTTGATATCAGGTTTGTTTTTTGCAATTAAAATAACATTGTGATAAACATCCTTGTGAGGTTTGTATGTCTATGGAATTTATTCCCAGAAGTGGAATTTCTGAGTTGATGGTATGTATATCATAAATTTGTCTTTTCTTTTCTTTTTTTTTGAGACAGAGCCTCACTTTGTTGCCCAGGCTAGAGTGCCGTGGCGTCAGCCTAGCTCACAGCAACCTCAAACTCCTGGGCTCAAGCAATCCTTCTGCCTCAGCCTCCTGAGTAGCTGGGACTACAGGCATGGGCCACCATGCCTGGCTTTAGTAGAGACGGGGTCTTGCTCTTGCTCAGGCTGGTCTCGAACTCCTGAGCTCAAACAATCCACCAGCCTCGGCCTCCCAGAGTGCTAAGATTACAGGAGTGAGCCACCGCGCCTGGCTGTATATTATAAATTTAAATAGTTTTCTTTCACATTTTCAAAGGTAAAGTGAGTGCATCCTTTTCATTTATTTTCATAGGCCCAACAGTTAACAATGACTATTACAATTCTTTTAACTTCAGAGGACTATTGAGCATATTTTCATAGGTTTATTGGCCATTTTGACTTCTAGTTTTCTGAGCTACCTACTTGTATCATTTGCCTATTTTTCTCTTGGGCTACTTGTCTTTTCCTTATCACCAAGTAGAAGCTCTTTGTATATTACAGATATTAACTCTTTGTCATGTTTTGGATTTTTAAAATCTATTTTCCACACGGACAGCAACTAAAGCCTGTGCCTTTAAGAAACTTAAAAAACAAAAGTCTGACATACAACAGGAAAGTATACAGATCACAAGTGGAGAGCTCAGTGAATTATCACAGTGTGAAGCCAACCATGTAATCTCCAACCCAAGTCCAGAAACAGAACAATTACTAGCACTGAAGAAGTCTTCCTCATGCCTGGTATGGTGCCTCATACCTATAATCCCAGTAGTTTGGGAGGCCAAGGTGGGAGGATTGCTTGAGACTGAGGTGTTTGAGATCAGCCTGAGCAACATAGTGAGACCCCATTTCTATAAAAAAAAAATTTAAAAATTAGCCAGGCATAGTGGCATGTGCCTATAGTCCTAGCTATTCAGGAGGCTGAAGCAGGAGGATCACCTGAGGCCAGGTGTTCAAGGTTGCAGTGAGCTATGATCTCGCCACTGCACTCTACCTGGGTGACAGAGCAAGATCCTGTCTCAAAACAAAAAAACCCCAAACTAAAAACTAAAAAACTACAACAAAAAGAAGTCTTCCTCATGCCTCTTCCCAAAGGTAGCTACTATTCCTAGCATAAATTAATTTTATCTATTTTTGAACTTCATATAAATGTATTCTTTTATTCAGCATTGTTTTGAAGTTAATCTGTTACAGCAACTGATGGTTGGTTTTTATGGCTATATAGTATTCCACTGCATAAATATATGACTATCAAAATCCATTCTACTGCTGACAGACATTATCAGTTGTTTCTACTTTTAGACTTTTGCAAATAATGCTTCTATAAACATACTGGCACATGTTGTTTGGTGCATATATATATGCATTACAGTTGTTTGTGTGTATCCAGAAGTAAAACTGCTAGGTCATAAGCTATACATGTGTTCATCTGTGATTGCTGTTACCAATTTATACTCCTATAAGCAGCATATGAGAATTCGTAGTACTCCACATCCACCTAACACTGGTATTGTCTTCTTAATTTTAGTCATTTTGATGAATGCATAGTGGTATCCCATTTGGTTTTCTTTTACACTTTCTTAATTATTAATGTGGTTGAGTAACTTTTCATGTTTACTGTCATTTGGATATCCTCTGTGAAATGGTTGTTTAGGTCTCTTGCTGTTTTTTTCTAGTAAGTTGTCTATCTGCTTGATTTGTAGAAGTTCTCATATTTCTGATATTTTCTTTAGGAAAAATATGTAGTAAGCTTAAGAATTAATGCTTTTCTGCCACAAAATTCAGCATTTAAATAGCACTTTTTCTTCTGTTCCACCAACGTTTGCCAAACAATATAAAATTGTTTCCCCCCCAA